TGTTTTCTACCTTTATCTTGTATCTACCTACCACTTCAGCATTTTATTAAAAATAATAATAATAAAGAGAGAAATGTGGTATCCACATATAAATCAAGTATAAAAATCAAATGAATATTCATATTTGAACTGACTGTTTATAGTTCATAATGCATGATCAAAACCAAAAGCTTCTGTGATGACTGCCCTTGTAATGTTCACCATGTAACTTATTCACTATGTAAGAATTTGTTCTCCATGTAAGAACTTGTTCGTTATGCTTCAGAAGATTGGAGACTGATGACAATTAGGCTTGGGGTGGATTAATGATTGTGCATTGAGCATTGACCCCCCATACAGAATTTTATTGTGGTTAACAACCATTTGATCAATTAATATGAGAGATGCCCTCACAAAAAAAAAAAAAGTACACACTTTCAATTGTAAAATAAATAAGTAACCAGGATGTAATGTATAGGATAAGGAATATAGTCAAAATATTGTAACAACTTGGTATGGTGATAGCTGGTACCTAGAATTATCATGTATATAAATGTTGAATCACTGTGTTGTACACCTGAAACTAATGTAATACTGTGTGTCAACTACCCTTCAATAAAAAATACTGATCTATAAAAAAAAATGAACATCTCAGCAAAGAAATCGTGTATGTAAAGAAGAGCTAACTAGTAACTTTAGAAGTTAAAAGTACAATAACTGAAATAAAAGATGCACTTGATAGGCTAAATAGTAGATTTGAGAAATAGTGATCTTGAGGATAGATAGAAATCTTCACCCAATGTGAAAGAAAAAAGATTGAAAAAAAAATAAGCAAGTCTTCAGAGATCTGTGGGTCAATAATAAAAGATCTAATATTTATGTCATTGAATGCCAGAAAAAGACAAGAAAGAATGGGATGCTGAAAAAAAATATTTGAAGAAATAATGGCTGAAAACTGTCCCATTGTGACAAAAGATAGGCTTGAGAAGTTGAATGAACTTGAAAGAAGATAAACTCAAATTCACATCCAGACACATCATAAACTGCTGAAAACTAAAGACCATGAGAAAATTTTTTAAATCAGCCAGGATAATGATGAATTATCTATAGAGGAATATCAATTCAAGTGACATTAAATTTCTCATAAAAAATATGGAGGCCAAAAGAAGTGGCAAAACATTTCTCAAGTGCTGAAAGTGAAGAATTGTCAGTTCATAAACCTGTATTCAGCAAAAACATCTTTCAACAATGAAGGTAAAATAAAGAAGTTACCAGATGAAGGAAAAATAGACTTCATTGCCAGAAGACATGCTTTAAAGGAAATTCTAAAGGAATATTTTTCAGACAGAGGGAAATTATATCAAATGGAAGGAAACCTGGAGCTTCTATATTAAAGTCTGGGCTTAAAAGCAAAGAAAATGTATAGGTATACAAAAACTAAGAAGATATAAAAATCTTAAATATGTATGCTAACAACTGAGCTTCAAAATACATAAAGCAAAAACTGATAGGATGGAAAGGAGAAATAGAAAACTCCATAATTATAATTAGAGAATCCAGTACTCTTCTCTCAACCCATGGAATTAATAGAGGGAAAATCATGGATATAGAAGAGCTGAATGTCACCACAAACCAAGTAAATCTAACTGACATTTATAGAACACTCTACCAATAGCAGAATACATTCTTTTCAAATGCACATGGATATTTAACCTTGATATAGCATATTATGTGTCATAAACAAATTTAGTAAATGTTAAATAATTTAAATCATAAAAAATACATTGAATTAACTAGAAATAAATAGGAAAAGTACTGACAAAGTCTCCAAACACTTTGAAATTAAACACCAAACTGTAAATAATACATCAGTAAGAAGGTCTCAACAGATAACATAAAATATATTGACCTAAATGAAAGCATAAATACAGCATATCAAAATTGGTGAGATGCAGTTACAGTAGTGTTTAGAGGGATATATATTACATTAAGTGCTTATATTATTAAAGAAAAAATATATCAAAAATTGAGTTTAAGCTTTCACCAAAAGAAACTAGAAAAAGAAGACAAAAAAGTCTAAAGCAAGCAAAAAGAAGAATAAAGATAAGAATAGAAATTAAAAGCAGAAAATAGAGATCTATGAGAACAAAGATCCATTTTGAAAAATCAGTAAAATTGGAAAACCTCTAGCAAAACTAAAGAGAGAGAGAGAGAAAGAAAGGTGGGATATCACCACAGACCCAACAGACATCAACAATATAATAAAGGGAACACTACCAACAAGTCTACACACATAAATACTGTGACACAGAGGAAATGGACCAATGCCTTGAAAACCACCAACAACCAAAACTCACTTAAGATGAAACTAACAACTGCAATAGACTTAAAAGTAGTAATAGAATAGAATTTGTAACTAAAAACCTGGAAAAAAATACCCAGATCAAGATGGTTTCACTGGTGAATGCTAGCAAAGAAGGAATGACACCGTATCTATACAATCTCTTCCAGCAAATAGGAGAGGAAATTACTTCTAACATTTTATGAGACCAATATTGCCAATTCCCAAACTGCAAAAAAAATGGTAACTCCAGATGACATCATCACAAACATAGATGCTAGAATCCTCAATTAAACAGTAAACCAGGAGTATCTGAAAGTAATACACCATCACCAAATGGGTTTATCCTAAGATACAAAGCTACTGAAATATTTGGAAATCAGTAAATGTAACCTCCCATATTAATAGCCTAAAGAAGAAAAATCACATCAGATGGTCAATTGCTTTTTCTGAATCAATCGATATGAACATGATAATCTGAATAATTATAATAAATTCAACATGATAGTGAATTTATATCCTGATAGCATTCACAATAAAGTTCCTAGAAACTAGGAATAAAGGGTAACTTCCTCAGCCCTAATAAAGGATATCTATATAAAACATCTAACATCATAATTATTGTTGAAAATCTGAATGTTCCCCCCACCACCACCACCAGATTGGGAAAAAGGTAAGGATTTCCAGTCTCACCACTTCCATTCAACAACTTCTATCATACTGGAAGTCCTAGTGAGTGCAATAATGTAAGAAAGAAAATACTGACAGATTGGAAAGCAAGAAAGAAGTCTATCTATAGATACACATATGATTGTCTACATAGAAAATCTCAAGTAAAATCTACAGGATACAAGGTCATCACAGACTAATTGATCATATATATATCAACAATGTATAATTGGAAGCAAAATTTATTAGATCATATAATTTTCAATAGCTCCAAAAGCATAATACTTAGGTGTACATTAACAAAGCATGTATAGGATCTGTAAACTAAAAAATTACTAAATTCTGAAGGAAGGAATAAAAAATTTTTTAAAAATGGACAGAGATAATTGCTCATGGATTGGAAGATTGAATGTAGGAAGGATGTCAGTTCTCCCCAAGTTGAACAGAAATTTCAAAGAGAGTATAAGAGTGGCAGATAAGCACATGAAAAAATGTTCAATATCATTAGCTGTTAGACAAGGCAAGCTAAAACCATAATGAAATACTACTACACACCAATTTTAATTGCTAAAATAAAACAAGATAAATACTAACCAAGTACTGGTGAATGAAACAACTGGATCTTTTTATACTTTGTTGATGGGAATTTAAAAAATGGTACAACCACTCTAGAAAACTATTTGGTGGTTTTGCATAAATTTAAACATATACTTAACCTATGACCCAGGAATTCTACTTCTGGATATTTACCTGCAAGAAATGAAAACTGATGTTCACACAAAAACCTGTCCATGATGTTTATAGCAACTCTAATTTTAATTGGCCAAATCTGGAAACAACCCTAGTATTCTTAAATGTGGACAAATAAACTGTGATGGAATACTAGACAGCAGTAAAAGAACGGGCTCTACAAAAAACAACTTGAACGAATCTCAGAGGCTTTATGCTGAGTGAAAAGCCATCCTCAAAAGGTTACATACTCCATTTATGAGATGTTTGGAAAAGGCAAAGTTATAGGGACACAGACTAGATCATGGTTGCCTGGACTTACGGGCAGGGGAGGGGAGAGTGTGATTGTAGGGGAAAAGCAAGAGGGAGTTTTTTGGGTGATGGAACTGTCCTTTATCCTGATTTTGGTGAGGCTTGCACAAATCCATGTGTATATAAACATTCATGTAACTTCATCCCCAGAAAGTCAGTTTGCTCTATGATAACTTTTTTAATAATACTGTTTTTTTAAGAAATACAGGCCATTTCCAACATGATTATCCCTCCACTCAGTTGCAACCGTGTCCAGAATCTTAGTCTTCAAATGCATCATCGTGTAGACATTCACCTCGTGGCCACATGTTCAGGAGAACACCATAATGAAGGCGTGCGTAGATGATATTGAACGCTAAAAAATACTGGACATGTCAAATGTAATTGTTACTTGTTTTGTTTCATTCTAACTTTCACTGTCTTTTTTTCTTTTTGTAAACAGATTCATTTTGGAATTCAGCCTCCTTCAATACTGAGACTTCATACCTTCACTTCCCTACATTTCGAGGAGAGCTTAGTGCCGACATGTCTTTTTTTTTCAAGACAACAGCTTCTTCTGGGGTGTTTTTAGAGAACTTGGGGATCACAGACTTCATCAGGCTAGAGCTTCATGGTGAGTCACCCACTCTGGAGAAAGCCACAGGGTGCTCGGTAGTTAACAATTAACCCCTTAGTCACCTGATTCCTGACGTATTGCCAATCCTCCTTCATCAGTTCTGTTTCTTATTAAACACTAGAACTGTCATTTCAAACAATAATTTTTTTTCAGAGAGTAAAATAATGATTCATGAAACACACAACAGTTTTGTGCTACTTTAACTGTATGTACAATCAGGTTATAAACCAAACTCGATACCAGATTGCCAAATTATTTAATTGACTAGTCACATTGCTTATTCATGTATGCAAAGCTCAATTCCTTACCATTAAAATTTCACATAGAGCTTTTAAAACTGTATGAAAATTTAAACCACTTTGAAATAACTCACTCATATGAAGCCAGATAACATGTTTGTCTTCTATCTAAAGGTAAATATGCCCACTACTTAGGACTTAGTAAACCCTAAGGAGGAATATATTAACAACAGCTTTGTTTTTTTCCTCCAGGACACAGATTTATTCTGCCCCCCACCAGCTCAGCATGGCATCTGTCTGCGTCATGTCACAGTCTGCTTTCATAATGTCGGTGCTTTTCCATGTCCTCCCTGTGAATAATTCCAGCAGCTCTCATATCTGTACTTCCAGCTCCTGCAGAAGTGACCTTTTCCTTTGATGTGGGGAACGGGCCTTGTGTGGTCACAGTGAGGTCCCCAACGCCCTTGAACGACAGTCGGTGGCACTATGTGAGGGCAGAGAGGAACATTAAGGAAGCTTCGCTTCACGTGGATCGGCTCCCTGGCGAGACCCGGCCTGCCCCCCCTGACGGGCATGCTCGCCTGCAGCTCAACAGTCAGCTCTTCGTGGGTGAGGGCCGGGGGCACCGGGCTGCTCCCTGGGCAGAGGGGCGGGAAGACCTGACCGCAGGAGTGATGACAGCGGCGGCAGACTGCCGCGGCCAGCACCATGTCCCCAGAGCCCGTTAGATGTTTAGTAGCTCTCCCAAGGGTCATTGGACACAACTTACAGTTGACATAATGGAGGCTCTGAGAGATCAAGTGACTGGACCGCAGACACCTGACTGTATGAGCAGCCCAAACTGGTGCTGAGCTGGTTCCCAAGCCTGCATCTGTGTCACAGACTCTTTGTATTTGTTTCGGTGACTTCTTAGCAATACTATTGATAAAACAATTAGCACTCCTCATCCCTGTCTCCCATTTCACTTCTCAGTTGAGTTAGAGAACCCACCTTATAATTGAGATATAAGCCTGCAGGCTCCTCTGATAAATAGATTTAGGAGACCAGTGCAGCCACACACAGCGGGACCCTGCAGCCCCTCGAGTTTGGGGTCCTCAGCCTCCTCCCTCTGCTGCCCTTGTCCCAAAGGCTGAGTTCACAACCTGCCTGGCTGTTGATTCGCATTGCCCATTCTTTAAAGATTAAAGCTCTGGGTAATGGGAAGTCTTCCCTTTTTTACTTGCTTATTTTTTATTATCGTTTGTTTTTCCCAAAGGGAGAATAAATTTGGCTGCTGTACTTTTCAGACAGCTCTATTCTAGTTTGGAAATGAAGGAGATTAACAATACCTCTCACTTAGCCATTTCTCATGTATTTTAAAGTAAAGAAGGATGCCAGTCTAATTAAAAACTGATAGATCACAGTCTAGCACACATCCTGCTTTGCTGGAGGCCACGTCCAGCGTCCAGGGGCTAATGCTGGGCAGTGAGTTCTGTGTGTGTGGGCATGTGTGTGTGGGCAACCCATGGTACCATCAAACGCAGCTTCGAGTATGGTTAGTTCTTACTGAGCTGAGACCTCACTTCAAGTCTTTGTACTGTGGATCAAATTAAACAATTTGTTTTCTGATTTTTAATCCTGAGGATTAATTAATGGAATTTTTAGGAGCAACATTTGCATGAAAATTTATGTAGAATTAGCATTGCCACTATGATAATGTTTCTAAAGCCTGAGATACTACTTGAAAATGCAGATTTGGGGATCAGGCCCATGGAGTCAGGATCCCTGGGAATGAGCCCAAATCAGCTTTAAGTGAGCACAGCCAACTCCTGTGCTCCATGTTTGAGATTAGGCTCACGTGAGACATGATGGAGACATGGAGACGTACCTGTTACTCAGTTAATGCTCTGCGGCCTGACAGAGCCTTCCGGCTGCAGGAAGGCCCAAAGGCCTCCACTTCTGTCTCACCCTTCCTGCCTTCTCTTTCTTTACACCTCCTCGGTTCCTTTTCACAGCTTCATTATTGAGAGCTCCTCTACGTATGAACTGGTATTGTGTATACTTATGAATTTGTAATATATATCAAATATATATGTAATATATATACAATAATAAATACATGTATATACCTATACACACACATATATGTATATGTTGTATATAAATTTGTAGTATAGTTATATTGCAAAGATTTCTACCTATATAACCTTTATTATACATGTCATTGGTTATAAATTTAAACTTTAAAAAGGCTTGGTGGTCATTAGCTTATTCTTTACAAAGGAATGAGCATACAAATCTTTCCAAATATAACTTGAGGTATTTTTAGAATAAATGTTTACCAAGTTCAACTTAAAAAGTATTTTCATTAATGGTTTATTCAGCACCATTTGATGGTTATTAACAGTTGATCAGAGCCTGTCTTTTCAAATCTGTCTTTGTACATAAAACTCCAGAGGTCATTTTTCTGACATGATCATCTGGCCTCATTGTGTCTCAAATGTGACCCCCAGGGATGCATTTGCATTTGCACTGTTTCCCTTGCAGGAGGGACGGCCACCAGACAGAGGGGCTTCCTGGGATGCATTCGGGCCCTGCGGCTGAACGGGCTGGCCCTGGATCTGGAAGAAAGAGCCACTATGACACCAGGGGTGGAGCCGGGGTGCCACGGACACTGCAGCAGCTACGGACACCTGTGTCGCAATGGAGGGAGATGTACGGAGAAGCACAGGGGGATGGCGTGTGACTGCACCCTCTCTGCCTATGACGGGCCCTTCTGCGAGGATGGTGCGTGGGACCCACGAGCAGGTTGGGGAGGTGGGTGGAAGACCAGACAACTATGACCGTTTCTGGCACCTGACACTGCAAAAAAGAGATAAGGCAGTTCTCTGTGATAAACTGGAATAGAATGTTTCTGTCCCAAATTCCTCTATGCAATGTGGGAGGAGGTACAATTCTGTTTTTGAGAAGCCTGTGGCTACTACTGTCGGATCTGGATCATCAGGGAAACACTCTGAGGAGAGCAGTTATGTTCACGTCTACATTTACACTGGACACTTAGTTTTATGTAAATCTGAGATGCAGCATTTTGGGGGCAATAATAAAGTATTGCTACTCAATCCTGGGCTATGGGAATATGTGGAGATTGCCATTATTACTTTCTCTTGAGATATTTCAGGATCAGAGATATTCTTATTCTTAATACACATAAAGCAACAGCCATGCACTTACATATTGCTAATGTAACAAAAATGTGTGTCATTCCAGAGATTTCTGCATATTTTGGAATTGGCTCCTCAGTTATCTACAATTTTCAAGAACATTACAATCACACGTCCAGTAAGAACTCTAGTTCCCTTGTGGCCTTATTTCGTGAGGACCTGACGCTGACTGGAGAAATGACCACGCTGAGCTTCCGGACCACAGGGACCCCCAGCTTATTGCTCTGTGTGAGCTCCTTCTCTGAGGAGTACCTGTCTGTTATCCTCACCCCAAATGGTGAGTGCCATCTCTGTGACAACAAGATGACTGAATTAGCAAATTGCGACCATAATATGGGGAGTCCTTTCAGTGTTGACTACAGAGAGGAAGGGCAATTGCATGTGCTGTAACTGTCACTTTTTAGGATTGGTTTATTTCTCATTACAACCTCTAATGTTTATCACTAAACTTAACATCTCAGTGATTACATCAAAATGCTTTTCTCCTATTAAAGTTTGATCATGTAATGTATTTAATATGCAACTCTGCTTCTTGTTATTAAACCATCAAAGTTAATATCCATAAGCACCAGATGAATATGATTGTTATCACATCATGTCTCCATACAAGGAAAAGTGGAGTGGAAGTTACCCAGCCCATGGCTCAGGACATTCCAGGGCTTTTGCAGCTGCAGAACAGCCAAGCTCTAACCTTGCTTCATGGAGAATGAGGGGAGAAACTTAATTTCTGGAAAACCTTTCCACAATTTCTCACTGACAGATCTATTACGGACAGCACAGGGGTTATGGAGTAGAGTGCGTATCTGTGAGGGAGACCAGTGTGCAGATCGGGAGATTGAAATATTGTAGCAAATCAGCCACTTCTCTCTTTTCTCTGTTTTACTGATTTCTCTTGTTGCTTGATTATGGTTAGAAACAGTAGGAAGAAATTGCTGGTTGTGCAAAATAATTAATTATGTGAATATCAGCAATACATTAATATGCATTCAAATAAGCCAAATTAAAGAAGATGAGCTTATAGAAACTGGATATTAATGCAATATTGCTTGAGGTTTTGCCATTTAATTATATGAACACCACATGAATAATTAACTGAGTCTGGCTCAGAGTCTTCATATGCTTCAGATTTCTTCCTTTAATTAAGGAAAATGGAAGAACCTGGAAAGAGACCATTTGGTCTTGACTTTTAAAGTAGTGTAATTGGATTCTGAATTTGGCCCCAGAATAGCACATAAATAAATGGTCACAAGACCAGGAAAAGTGACTATTGAAGCACTTAAGTGAATGTGCAATAGATTCAAATAGCATTAAATAAATAAAAATAAAACATGCTGTAGAGTCTGCATTGACAGTTTTTATAAAATTCCATTTTAGTTAAAAAATGTTCTTTTTCTCTTCTTCAGGAAGTTTGCAGATCAGATATAAGCTAGACAGACACCACGAGCCTGATGTTTTTAACTTTGGTTTTCAAAACCTGGCTGATGGGCAGCTTCACCAGGTGAAGATTAACAGAGAAGCAGCAGTGGTCTCTGTAGAGGTAAGATTGTAAATTAATAGCAGCAACAGTCATCCAAAGGGGGTGCTTAGCATGCATGACCAAAAACAAAAATGTGATAATAAATCCTAATAAAGAAATACAGTACAAGTACAGAACAACCTTCAGGAAGTCTTACTAGGGCAGAAAATGTAGCGAAGGTGTTTTGTTTAGTGATGTTGGTTGGGTTAAACCAGGATTGTCATGGATATTAATGTTTGACATTTGAAATACCTAGGTGACCTCACTGGTATTACTTTACCTGGTAGGATATGGCTAGTGTATCATAGTGACTCCTGGAGACATGCCAGTGGGAAGCAAAAGAGCAAATGCTACATAAAATTAAACACCAAGGAAAAAGCAAGATCTTGCTTACAGTGAGGGTCCATTTTTAAAAGTATCAGTATTTAAGGTATGCATTGTCCCTGGGTTTTGAAGAATAACCTTTATATATTGACTCTGTATGCATAATAATATTTTTCTGCTCATCTTACAAATTTTCTTTTGAAGTAAGAAAAAGCTTTAAGGTTTAAAATAGTTTATTGCCAGCTCTTTGTGAATCGTACCGATTTCAGATACTTAAACCATGAAGAAATAAAGGGAAGGGATAGGCAATGGACTGAAGTGGAATTTGAGGTATTGTAAACATTGTTACAAAACAGTTTCCTCCTTTAACTTTTGTGACAGTACGAATATATGGTTTACTTTTGCCATTTTGCTTGTCTCCCTTTGATTCCCATCCTCTCATCATGAAAATTGCTCACTATTTTAATGTTTGCTTCTCATGGAATGTTTAATAGGTTAACCAGAGTGAAAGGAGACAACTCATCCTGTCATCAGGGACAGAATTCAATGCTGTCAAATCCCTTATGTTGGGGATGATTTTAGGTAAGTGGCAGAAAGAGTGTTCTGCCATCCCACACCCCTGGCCAGCACACATCAGAAGTGTTAGATTGCAAACACTCGTCATGCTGAAAGACGCTCTTTGTCATATTCTCGACTGCCCAGTGAGTGACAGTCAGGGTGGAAACTGCGCTCTTGTCTGAGAGCACACAGAATAATAGTACATGCGGCCTGGTAGATGAGCGAGGGCCTCCCGGATGGAGAAAGACCTCAACACCTGCTGCCATGCTTGACAGTCAAGCGTGAAGAAACTTGGTATTTTTCTAACAAATGAGGAAAGATGAAATTCAAGCAGGTTTTGGTTCACAAATTACATATTAATCAGGGGTCAAATGCAGAAGTCATTTTAATCATAAATCTAGATTTATTTATAAGAGAATAAGAGGAAAGATTGTTTATCTTTTAGCAAATGAATACAGTTTGGGCCGTGGCCTGAGCTGTGTTTTGCCTGCGGGCTGTGGTAAGGTGTATTCATTGCTCCCAGCTGCTTTTGGGAAACCACAGCCTAAATATCCCATGACATCTTTACAGCTGCCAGCTTTTCTCCATGAAATCACCAAGGAACAACCATACTTTACTTTACATCAGTTCATTTATGCTTTTATTTTTCCTCTTGTCACCAAGAATTAAACTGAAATAAAAATCAACTTTGAAAGGTATTTATTTTCTTTTAATCATATATAAACTATACATTTCCTTGCTACTTAAAGTTATTTGTAGGACACCCGCTTGTGCGCTGTTGATTATTCCTGCTCTGGTACTTGAAACTCATGTGGCTCTCTTTAGTCCTGTATAATCAGTGGAATCTTCATTACTCTTTCTACCATTTATACATTGTTCCTTTGACCATTTCTTCTGCCCCCTGTGCATATAACATTACAGACTGTAGGATGTAAAGAAGGCACATGAATGGATGTTCAAAATATGTTGAGAATCACAGTGATGACTAAAACTATCACATTTTTCAAACAGATGATGGGCAATAAACTAACGACTTATTTTGCAGACAGGAAATGTTACAAATTGCAGGGCTCTTCCACACTGCCATATGTGGTTATAGATGGAGATTAAGCCAAGTAAGGAGGGTACGGGAATTCTTTGCTCTAAGAATAAAGTTTAAGCACAGGATAGTGAGTAGCAGCTTCAGGCTGAGTGGCGGCCTGAAAGGTGGGTGAAAATCTTGCCTTGGCCACATATTGCACAGTCAGCTTGCACTGTGTGTCTTTTCACATGGTTCTGGTCCCACTCCCTGAGTGTGGGCCAGTAATCGAGCAGTTAACATGGGAAAATAAGAATGCTTGTTTGCCATTGAGTGTTGGGAGATGTTTACAGGTATGGCAGCCCATTGTAGAGGTGAGTATCATATTCTCCAGTATTGGCTATAGATGTGTTTCCTAGGCATTGCTGGACATCCACATGTGTGTGATTTTAGTAGATTTTTTTTAATTCTATTTAGAACTGTGGCATAATGTTGGAAACCACACAGAATTGGAAGAACAATTGAAAGAAATAAACTGGCCCCCCAAATTTTACCCATGAGAATAACCATGTACGTTTAGATAGAGAAGGCTATGAGAGTCCTTGAAGTTCAAAGATCCCACTGAGTTTTAGAGAACAGTGGGATGGTACCCCATCCTTGGCTGTCAGCTGAATGATATAATTTTTTTCAACCTACAAGGGGTGAAGAATTTGCTCCCTTTCTTTGAATCTGATATTGAACTCGACTCTCTGGCCCAACAGATAGCTCCTGTACTTGGTTTGCACAGAGTGAGTAATTGATCACCTCTGAGATGTGCAAACCGCAGAGGTGTCCTCCTGTGCAGTGGTGCAGGTTGTAAATGGAGTGGTGGTTCTGTCTGCCCCCTGCAATCTGATCCCTCCCTCATTGCGAACAGATAGCCATGTGTACCTTTCCTTGGCCGCAAGGACAGATATGGTCAGTAAACAAAACAAACACGGGCCATACACAACTTACAGCCTTCAGTGAATCCAGCTTCTGACAAGAGAGGTGAGGGATGTTCAGAAATGTATGTGACACAAGGTAGAAAGTTGCCATCAGTAAGTGTGAAATGGACGTGGGAATATTTTTAAAGACAATTTGGCTTCAAATTTATTATCTGTAAGAAATACGGGAGAGAAGGAAATTACTTAATAACTGCATTATATGAAGGGAATAATTTTAATAAAAAAGTAGAATAATGAGTTTTATCATATAAATTTTAATTTTCCTGCAAGTTAATATATAGAGGACAACAGCACAGAATTGAAGATGATAATGTGTGTCTTCAAGAATGATATATTCAAAAGCATCTCTTTCAGGCTATAAAAATTAAAGTTGAAATTCAGCAATGAAGTTTATAGCCTGAAGCAATTGAGTCTAATAAAACTATAAATATTAATTTCATCTGTACCTAGGGGTATGCATTTTGATCAAAGGCTAATAAAACTTTTCATGTTCTAGGTTTTAGGATGGCTTCTGTTCTGATTCTACTGCCACTTTGAGATCCTAAGTGCAGGACTCCAGTTTTGGGTTCAAATTTAGAGTATAAGCTGAGCTTCCTTTCATAAACTTAGAGTAAAACACAACACCAGATTAACTAATATAAGGAGCCATTAATTTTCCAAAGAGAGTTGTCCAAAACTACGGCAAGTTAACTTACTTCTTGTTAGCTGTTTTGATTAATTAAGTTATCCATCATTTAAAAAGTTTTGGTGGGCTTTCATATGCACTTTGACTTCATTTTGGATATGCCCAGTGCCTAGCAGAGAGCACATACTATACCCCCCTCATAGCACTTGTAATACAGTAGGGAACACAGACAGTAAAATAGTATTCATGACTAATCTAATTAATCATTATTACTATTTACCATGATGTTCTTTGGAAAAATGGCTCAGTGGTATCTTCTCCTTAACATGCTCTTGTTCTTCCCATTCTTCAGTGGCCTTAATAATGATCAATCAGGCTAAGTTTTCCCAGTTTTTGTAAAATAACATCAGTGTAATCCTGCTTTAAATTCAATCTTTAGATTTCTGAGTTTCTATCTAGTATTGACTCTGAGCAGCCATTAGCCCCAAAGTATGAGGGATTTAAAGTACAACCACCAGTCAGGGGCTTGGGCATTTTTTCTGTTTCACTTCCCCAAAGATTTTTGTATAATTGGTATTCTTTTGATTTTTTTGTGTGTATGTGCATGAAAAAATCCCAAAATATGAAACCAAAACCAAAATGTGTTTTTAAGAGTGCAGACTAAAGATGTGTCTTTCTGTCTCCTGGGGGAGAATATAATAGGCTGCATATAGTTCAGACCAGTATAGTCATATAGGAAAAAGTTACTAGCAGTTCAATTTTCTGTGTGGGGTAAAGCATTGTATGTTAAAATGGAGCTCCACATATGAGAATTGAGTAATAAATAATTTGTAGAAATTGCCTACTGAGACCTGCCTGATAAGATTAGAGTTTAGATATTAAAAACTCTATTGACATATATGGCATATGTTAGTCTTAGCCAGGCTCAGCCTAAGAATTTATTTAATTTAGAAGGAAAATTACGCAGCAGAAAGACACAGTTTATTAAATTTCAGGAATATGAATATAAATGCAAAAATCCTCAACAAAATATTAGTAAATGTATGCAGTCTCATATAAAAATTATATATCATGACCAAGTAAGATTTATCCCAGGAAATTAAAGTTGGCTCAACAGATAAAAATTAATCAAATAATATACCATATTAATAGAATAAAGGACAAAGACTAATATTTTCCAAAGCACATGAACATTATCAGTTCAACAGACACAGAGAAAGCATTTTTTAAAATCAAATGTGTTTTCGTAATAAAAACACTAGGACTAGAAGGGAACTTCCTTACATGGAAAAGGACATCTACAAAAAAACACTACTAACATCATACTTAATGGTGAAATAATGGAAATGTTCCCATACGATCAGAAAAACATGGCGATGTCCACTTACCACGTTTTGTGGTACAGGCTTGGGCCAGGGATAGTAAGCAAGAAAAAGAGTAGAAAGCATCTAGATGAAAAAGGAAGAAGTAAAATTATCTCTGTTTGTAAAGGGCATGATCTTGTGAAGAATCCATGAAAAAAGCTACTAAGAGCTACTAGCAAATAGTTTCTGCAAATGTACAAGATCAATATACAAAAACTTAATTGTATTTCTATGTACTAGCAATGAACAGAATAAAGATGAAGAGTGAAATGAAAATTCCATTTACTGTAGCATCAAAAGAAATGGAATACTTAGGAACAAGCTTAATAAGAAAAGTGCAAGTCATGTATACTGAAAGCTACAGAGATCACTGTTGGAAGGAATTACAGAAAATTTACATAAATGGAGAGACATCTGTGTTCATGGATTAGAAGACTTAATATTGCTGAGATGGTAGTGCTGCCCAAATTGATCTATAGATTCAGTACAACTATCAAAATCCAAGTAGCCTTTTTTGCAGAAATTGACAAGTTGATCCCAAAATTCACATGGAAACGCCAGGAGCTCCAGATAGCCAAAACAGTCCCAGAAAGAAGAACAAGTTGGAGTTCTCTGATTTCAAAACTTAGTACAAAACCATGGTAATCAAGATTGTGTGATACTGCCATAAAGATAGACATATTGATCAATGGAATGAATTGAGAAATAAAACTATGTACTTATGGTCAATTGACTTTTAACATTGGTGCCAGTTCCATATAATAGAAAAAGAATGGTCTCTTCAACTAGTAGCGCTGGGCCAACTGGATGGCCACAGATTCAAAAAGTGATGTTGGACCCCTGCCTGATACCATATACAGATTAACTCTACATGGATGATAGATCTAAATGTGGGAGCTAGAATTATAAACCCTTAGAGCAGAACATACTTATAAGTCTTTCTAACCTTGAATCATACAACAGTTTCTTATATAAGGTTTCTCAAAAGTCTTGTGTTAGATCATGGTTTCTCAAAAGCACAAACAGCAAAA